GCAGCGCTGCAGCACCACCCTCTTCTTCCTCCTCACCTCCCTCACCTGGGGGCTGCTCTCTGTCAGGTTGGGGGCCTGGTACAGGGAGCTAGACCCGCCGAGGTGGGTGTCTCCATAGATGTAGTGTTGCGTAGCCAGAACCTATCCCCACACTTTGTTTTAGCGGTGTGCCAGCGTTGGAGAAAGGTCTTGCTGAACCCATTTTCATTCTGGTATTAGGGGGAAAATACGCTGGCTTGTTTTTATTTCTTTAAACCAATCACAATCGTCTTAGAGCCTAAGCCCTAAGCCCAGGAAGTGGAAATGGTGCCCTTGCAAAATAATGCTGGCTTATACCTACAGCCTACTCACTGTGAACAAGACTACTATACACATACCAGTTAGTAATAAGAGACGGCCCCATACTATGGAATGAGAAGGCACCTTGGCAGTTATGTACATATAACCTACAATCACAAAATAACTGGAGAGACTGATATAAATGACAAAACACAAAGGGGTTTAGTAATCATAATGACCTAGATATATGATGATACAGACATGATCTGCATCATTAGACCTGAGATAAAACCCTTCTGCACCCGGCTACCCACTGTTTGTTCTTGCGTAACATATGTGTTGTCTTTTATAGTGAATGTGTACTTAAGATGTAATACCATGTCAAATGATGTTGTCCACTCCTAACATCTATCATTTCTATACTGCATGCTACACTGTAGGTATAGCATTTTATTGCATGTGTGTGTAGAACATTTCCCATTATTTTCCTATATAAATAAGAATGGAAAGGTTGTCATGGATAGACACAAATGGAATGGTGAAATATCAGGTAAGAAAAAGAAACCGAGATTTCACTCATTCTCAGACAGGAAACTGTGGTATCAACATGTGCCTTTGCTTTGCTCAGTGGCAAGAAGAGGAAACCAGCCTGGACGGATCGGATCCTCTGGCGCATCAAACCCAAAACCCCACCATCAGAGGATGACGATGAGAAGGCGTCAACTTCTGCTGATGATGGAGTGGATGAGTATCCACTCCTGGTCACTCAGGAAAAATACACCAGTGAGATGAGCTACGGAGTCAGTGACCACAAGCCCGTCATTGCAACCTTTAGTCTGGAGGTGAGAGCAGACTCACTGTAGAATGGTCTATGTTTGTGCTATGAGGTTGCTTTTGTCCTTCTGATACAACCACTAAATTAAGAGATTTTTTTACATGTTAAAGCCACTTCTCTTTGCTCCTGTTTTTCCTGCAGCTGAGAAAGTACTTTGACACACCCCTGGTGCACATATCTCATGTGGGTGTATGGAGCGCAGACCAGGATGCAGTTCTTAACTACACCATCCAAGAGGACTTCTTGTCCTCCACATGGGACTGGATTGGCCTGTACAAGGTACTGGGACAGACATAGAGGGAAAAAAACAAACAATATAATACAAGATTGATTTAAACTTATGGGGATGCTCTCCTGCAGGTGGGATTCAAGAGTCCGTCCGATTATGAAACCTTTGTTTGGGTTAGAGAGGACGAGTTGCCAGAGACAAATGAAGTCATACAGGTAAAATGCAAGTTAGACATTTGTATTGTCATGTTTGGACAAATATCTATTAAATGCATGCTTTTATAAAATGTGTGTGTGTGTGTGTGTTTTGGTTGCAGATTTCTGTGGATAAGGATGAGATCCCTCTGCTAAGTGGACAGTATGTCTTGGGTTACTACAGCACAAACATGCAAAGCATCATTGGCCTCAGTGATAACTTCCAGGTGAGTGTACCACCATCACATCTGTAATAGTAGTTATAGTTATACTTACATAGTTATACTTTATTATATGTCAGTACCTCATTATCATTTGTTTACTTAGGAAAAGGTTTGTGTCACAATCATTAACATTCATTGTTGTAGATATTGCCAATAAAAAATGGGCTTGACTAACGCTGAAATCAGTGATGCCAAATAGTACAAAGCAGAGTTTGTGTGAGTTTATATTATATACATTACCATTCTAAGGGCATTCAACGTAACTTTCTGGGGATCTGTGTACCTGTTAACACCACTACTACATAAAGTCATCATATTGGGATATTGGATTACTGGATACTAGTGATTGTCATGTTCACACATTTACTGAACTGTCATCAGCAACAAAAATAAGATGATTCCCCTAAGGCTCTTAATGCAAAATATCATGTTTATCTGCATTGTATTATCTGCGGGCCTGGACCAGATGGTAGCACCTATCACACTGTATTATACCCTAAGTGTTTTTTTATTAGCTAAGCCCGTGCATGGGTAAAAGTTATTGATATGGAGAGGACAATTTAATGTAGTCCAATGCAACACTACCACAATGACCTCAGTATAAACATATACAGTAATTGAATTTACGTATTTCCGACAAAGGCAACAAAACTGGGCTGAGATCCCATCTTTGTTTGATCTTGCAGATCCTGGAGTCGAAGCGTGCTGTCATGGAAGGCCTTGTTCCTGAGAACATCAATGGGCTCAACAAATAAGCATAAATTCAATGCAGTGCCAAGTCTTATTTCTCTCCCCTGGACATTCATACAGTATTGATTCAGACTTTCAATTGCCTAAGATCAATTCCATCCTCTTCTAGATAAGATGAATCAGTTGTTAAAAAATGGCCGCCACACTGTGCCATCACATGGACTGGAAACTGCAAATTATTGTGTCCAACTTTGCCTCTAAGGAGTTCACTTGAAGTCAGATTCACTCTGGCTGGCATAGTTTCTCTACAAAAAAGGTTTAGTGCTGTAATGAGCAGCCATCCATCTTATCCACAGGCATTTTTTTGGCCTGTTTCGTTTCTGAAAGTAGTGGATGTACACTGCTGGTCAAAACAGTCCTTGGTCAAGTTGAATTTGAAATATATTTAATGTGTTTTGGTTTGGTCTACATAAGTGCCAGTGCAGAGGGCTGTACAATAAGTGTAGATCTGCCAATCATCAGAAACTGTTGTATAGAAATTTCTATGTTGATGCAGGCTGTAATACGTTATCTACACTGTCTTAATGTGGAAAGATGCATATTGGTAATTGAGTTTTTTAATGTTTTGCTATGATTATTTGCACCAGTCATTTATCCCAAGTGTGGAATGGCAAAGATGGGAGAAAGATTTAAAATATAATGTACACATGAATTCCTCCAAGAATGTGGACTTCTACAGTCACATATTTCTTTATAACAAATATGTTGAGATCTATATGCGATAATCTAAATGTAATGTGTATGGCGACAGACTTTAAGGTAATGAACAGAATCATGACAAGATTATATTTTCAATTCACATGGATTTAAAGATTTTCATTAATTATGTATCTATCTTGCTGCAAACGTCTTATCTGTAGTCATAGAAATGCAATCCAGAATACGTTTTATGTTCCAATGCAAAAATGATGATTGTTGTTATAGAAGTGTCAAACCTTCTGTGTGCGTGCGTGTGTCATAGTGAAATTGTGTATAAATGTTGATTGACTGATTGATGGAGTGATTAAGTGAACAATGTCACAGCAACAGAACAAAATCAGTTTGTAGGATGTGTATTGTGCATTATGTGTTTTATTGTGGTAATGAAATAATGTATAATAAGTACAAGTTGTTGGTTAGGGAAGTGCTGGAAAATGCCTTTCAAGTTAATCCCTGGCCACAGTGACTTCTTTTTAAAAATTGCAAGCAGGACTTCTGTTTTCCTCTTGATGAAAATGTCTTAAACCCCAACTAAATTTTTGTGGCCTAATTAAAATGTAAGCAACTGACTGTGAAATTTCATTGACATATAAAGAGTATTTAATTTGATTGCTTTCATAAAAATGACACAATATCTTTTCAGGTTTAATGATTAATGAGTGGGATAATAATGAGTAAATTAAATTACTACATGTATATGTTTTCAAATCTCATGAATAACAACACTTTCACTAAACTTTTTCCTGCAGGTAATGGGTAGATATGGTTTATCAAAGACAAAAAGAAAGTAATACAGTACATAAAATAAGCACTGCAGAAATGTCAGGTTGGACCACTGTGTTTGGCTGAAAATGACAACAGAAATAAATACATTTGCCGATTTTACATATCTCCGCAGTTCAAACAACTGCCAGTTGTTAATCCAGACTGTTGTTGCTGCTGCTACACTTGCTGCTGAAAAGTTGTTAACAGTTAAACGAAAATATGTAAGTTTTTTATGGCAAGTGATAGGCAGGTATAAATTTATGGTAGGGCTAGGCGATAGGCCTATTGCCAGAAAGCTATCACGAGGCACGACAAATAATTTCATACAATTCGATATCACTTGACTATGACGATAAATGTCAAATCATTGCTTCTTTACAGTTTTGCTCCTGAGTGAAAGTTGAAGAAGTCAGATGGTTAATTGTGGTTTTAAACTATTCTTTATGGTCAGAACATGACAAACAGTGGATCACTGAAGTAGAACATTCAAAACAATTATGATAAAATCTTTTTTCAACAAATATGAGTAAAATTAAGTAAAATCTTTTTTCACTACCTTTTCCTCAACTAAATAAATATCTTATTAAAAAAGTGCTAATTCGTTCGTGATTCAAATGAATTACATCAAACATTTATTTATTGTCCAGCCCCACTATGGTGTCTGTTGTGTGTGTGTGTGTGTGTGTGTGTGTGTGTGTGTGTGTCAGATTCTTTTATTTATTTAGAATGTATTATTATTATTATTATTATTATTATTATTATTATTATTATTGAACACAAGTGTATGTCATTTCTAAGACTGCGCAACAGAACTTTCAGAAATATAATAAAAGTGGAGATGAGCAGAGTAACACGGCGATCTAACTAAGGAAACAAAATACCACATTATTCTCCCATAATTCATTGCGCGAATCCGTTCGCTGACAACTCCGGCTACTTGGAGCATCTTTCCTTTAAAGGCTCTTCGGCAATACACACGTGGGGCGTTTCAACACAACGCTGCCTCGCTAAAGGTACAGTTTTAGCAAATGTATTTGTTAAGCTAATGTCATATAAGAAAGGAGACAGTTGTGTAAACAAGTGACTGTTATTTTTCTGTCCTGCGATCGCCGATAAACAGGAATTATGTGTCTGAAATGCTGGCTAACAGCAGGCTAGCGGAGTTAGCTTTATTGGTTGACATCATAGACTGTGGTTGACATAGGCTAGCTAAAAGTAAATCGCTAAACAGTTGCATTGCAGGTGGCACGATATGGTCTAAATCTTTACAATAACAATATTAAGCATTGCTCTACAATGTGTTGCTCCCTGTCCTGTTTTCTAAACCAACTTTAGTGAGTTAATGGACATTTTTCTGGTAAGTTGACGTTGGTTTAGCTTGCTAACTTATAATGTTGTCTTGTTAAGGAATGGATGGGTTCTTCAAGCTAAAATAAGTTGGACCTCCATTTAGCTCTCCCAAACACTTAGAGGAAACTAAACAATAACAGTTGCCTGTAGATTTTTCTGACGTTATTTAAAGTACCTAAATAAGTGTAAGTGATTATTCCTCCATCTATGTAACGTTAAGTAAAGTATTCTTAGGTTTGGATCTAAACCAAAGAGAGGATGACGAGTGAGGACGTGGAGCGGCTGTTGATCCAGTTTCAGGACGAGGACGGGGAGGTTCTGGGTTCCCCTTTTGATGTGCCTCTGGACATCACAGCAGACAAGCTGCAGCTCGTCTGCAATGCACTGCTACAGAAGGTAACATGCTGGCTTATATAACATAAATATTGAGTTTAAGTTGTGACTAGCCTGTACACATCTGCATTTAAGACATTTCAGTCTTGTAAGTACAGCCAGGTTTTGTCCTCATCTACAGTATGTATTTCTTTTGAAATGACAATGTGAGTGTAAAGGATAGCATTCATGAACAGTGAATGAAATATTACTTTAAGGATACCACAATGGCGGTATCACTTACTGTAAGTAACAACATTTAAGTTACCAAATGCAGATATTTCAGTATTCCCTTACACATAAATATCCTACACAGAGACCATCTCTCAAACACCTCACAGCTGATACATTGGTTTCAGTTTGAACCCTTCTCAGACACAGTTATTAAAGTTATATTAAGCTGAAATTTAAAATCCAGTGACTGTTTCTTCTTTTCTGCTGTTGTCCTCTGTAGGAGGAGCCAGTGCCACTGGCGTTTTTTGTGCATGGAGAGGCTGAGGTGGTGTCCAGTCTGGGGTTGTGTGTGAAGGCTCTTGGGGTTGAGACAGAGCAAGTTCTGCCAGTGGTGTACCAGCCTCAGGCTGTGTTCAGGGTCCGAGCTGTGGCCCGCTGCACCAGCACACTACAGGGACACACAGAGGCCGTCATCTCGACTGCTTTCAGCCCCACTGGCAAGTGAGTAACTTATACAGAATGCACAGCTGCCAGCTGCTCCTAATGATATAACAATATGCACAAATAATATTCTGAAGGCAGATTTAGACATCATTTTAATTAAATTGCCGTTGTTTGTTTCAGATATCTGGCCAGCGGTTCAGGTGATACAACAGTGCGTTTTTGGGACTTGACAACTGAGACCCCTCACCACACAGCCCGAGGTATAAAGCCACTTCTATAGGGCAGTATGATCTGCTAAACATCAAGACACAAGTGATTGATTTTATGGTTTTAGACACCATTAAGCATTCTGTTTTATCTCAGGACACACACATTGGGTACTGAGCATTGCCTGGTCACCTGATGGCAAGAAGCTGGCTTCAGGATGCAAGAACAGTCAGGTGAGCTTACAACACACACCTCTCATCTGTATTTTTAAGCAGTATCCCTTGAACATGATGTATTTATTTTTTGTGGTGCTGTTTCTTTAGATCTGTCTGTGGGATCCAGTGACGGGTAACCAGATGGGGAAGACTTTGACCGGACACACCAAGTGGATCACTTGGCTCTCCTGGGAACCTCTCCATCTGTGAGCACTCAATTCAAAACAAATTCACTGTGGTTTAAAATCGTGAAAAGCATCAGCTGCGGTCTTGGGCACATTTGTCGTTGTTGCAAGTTTATCACCACAAGCTTGGCTTTCAGATAGGGTAGTGTTCCGAGGACAATGGGGGGTGGGACACTGGAAGCAATATTTTGAAAAGGGGGGTGCTGAGCTGCTTTTGGGGGGAATTTGTTAGTTGGAAATTCTAAAGCATGTTTACACCAAAGATTCACACCAATACAAGTTCAAACTTTAAACTACTTGCAAAAAACTCTGGTCTGCAACATTAAAACCTGCCAGTTTAGTCCACTGCGACTGGGCGAGACGGTGTATTTTTTTCTCCATCAGCTACTTGTGGTGCAGCTCCGTGCTGCCTTCATGGGAATGGGAAATCAAAGTATCATCTGTAAAATTTTACCCACATGGTGTTTACTGTGTAAACTCTGGAAAATTGAGGCTCTCTTTCTTGGTATTACCGTGGAAAAGTGTTTATTTCTCTGAGGAATACACCGTGAACGTCTCGTTATCGCAGTGGTTACATATTTACAAGAGGGATTTTCCACTGTCTGACCTACCCTGAAAGCAACTTTGCTGAGACACCAGCAAGTAATGTGGACCCATCTGGCGCTGTGAGTTGCAGACAGTTTGTGCCAAAGCGGGCATATACAGTACTTTCAGTAGGCTATAAAAAATATAACGTTAAAAACTGAAGCCCTTGCTCTGTTGGGGATTGTAAGCGGCACTTTATCAGAGGTGCTGAACTTGTGTGTGTGGAGTCGGAGATTTCTGCTCGATCACAGGTTTCGGTTAGTTTCATTTTCCCCGGGCATGAGCACCTCCTCGTTTCATCCAGTTCTGTGTCTGTCAGACGGTCAAGGTGATACTTCCGAGTATCCAGCTTAAAAAAGTTATTTTCAAGCATGTAAGGAGCCTAGCTGATAAGAGAGATAAGTTAATGTTAGAATACAGCTGGGGTTTTGAGGCTAGCATCCTACGCAAGGTATTGAATAAAGTACTCCAGTGGTATTGGTATCACTTTAAGGGTACTGGTTTTGGTACTGGAATCGTACTTTTTTAAAGAATACCCACCCCTGCAAGTACTGTAGTGGATGCTGATTTGTCTTAGAATGTGGACAGAAAAGCCATTGTAAGAAATGCTGAATGAGAAATTGCAAGGAGTTACAAAGGCTAGTGGAATAGAGACCAACCAGAGACCAAGACTTTAGCTCTCCGTAGTGTATACTTTATTTTGAATTGGGAAACTCCTTCTCTGCCTTTCAGGAACCCAGAGTGTCGGTACTTGGCCAGTAGCTCTAAGGATGGCTCAATACGTATTTGGGACACTGTGTTAGGACGCTGTGAGAAGATCCTGACTGGTCACACTCAATCAGTCACCTGTGTGAAGTGGGGAGGAGATGGACTCCTCTACTCTTCTTCCCAGGACAGAACGGTCAAAGTCTGGAGAGCCAAAGATGTAAGTGTGTGTGGCTGAGACACACATTCAATTGTTACCACGGACAGAATGAGTTGAATGAGACTTCTGTGTGTCAAAGCGAGACTAAATGTGCGTGTATTTGTGGGTATAGGGTGTCCAGTGCAGGACTCTGCAGGGTCATGCCCACTGGGTGAACACCCTGGCTCTCAGCACAGACTACATCCTGCGCACTGGAGCTTTTGAACCTGCAACTGCCACTGTCAACCCCCAGGACCTCACTGGATCACGTAAGGATTGTGTAACTTTCTTTTGGGATACAGTGCTACTGAAAATATTTGCTTCTCTGGCGTTGTATCTGGCTTAGATGTTTGCAAGAGGATTTTTTTATGTATCAATCATTTTGTACCCCCTAGTGGAAGAGCTGAAGGAAAAAGCTTTGCAGAGATATAATAAAGTTAGGGTAAGTACTGTTTGTTGTCTGTACTGATCTTTTCTAGTCCGTATGTCCTTTGTATCAGTACCCTCACTCCTGTTCTTGTGGTGCAGGGTCCAGCTCCAGAGCGCTTGGTATCCGGCTCAGATGATTTCACCTTGTTCCTATGGAACCCTGCAGAAGATAAGAAGCCACTGGCCAGGATGACGGGCCACAGCGCTCTGGTCAATGAAGTGCTCTTCTCCCCAGACACCCGGCTCCTTGCCTCCGCCTCATTTGATAAGTCCATAAAAATCTGGGATGGACGCACTGGGAAGTAAGAAGATCTCTAAACCACTAAGAGCAGCAAAGCTTGTCTTGTGGAGTGGATTATAAATGAATCTGTGTGTAATACTGCAGCTGTCCAGGTGACGGTGCTGTAGGCCTAAAAGTTGCAAGTGTGGCCCTTTTTTATTTATTTATTTATTTATTCTTTCTGCCAGAGTTTCGACAACTCTGAATAGTACTTACTGCCACCCTTGGTTAGGGTTTGTTAAGGTTAGGGTCCGGTTAGGATTAGCCATTCAGAGGCAGAGTAGGGAGCAGGACTCGACGCAATGCTGGTGTCAATCAAATGGCAGTCGTCAAGGGTTAGGGGTAGGGTTAGGGCCAGTTGTGGGAACTCTGGCATGAATAAGTAAACCCCCCCCCCCTCTCACACACACACACACACACAAATATTGGGCCTACAGAACCATCACCTGGACAACTACAGTATTTGGTTAGGGTAAGTGTTCAGGTTAGGCACATAGTTGTGATGGTAAAGGTTAAGTTAAGGGGCTGGGGAATTTTTTCAGCGAGATTAGATAGAGGAACGTGTGTGTGTGTGTGTGTGTGTCACACCGTGTAATTGTGTCTCTGCCTGCTTGTCCACTCGCCCAAAGGTATTTAACGTCCCTGCGTGGCCACGTGGCATCTGTGTATCAAGTGGCGTGGTCGGCAGACAGCAGGCTGCTGGTCAGTGGCAGCAGCGACAGCACGCTTAAAGTTTGGGACATCAAGACTGGAAAGCTTAACATGGACCTACCTGGCCACGCTGATGAGGTGAGGGAAGGACAAATGTGAAGCTTCCTGATAGTTGTGTTGATAGTATTTATTTATTTATTTTATTTTTTTGGTCTAATTGCCTTCGTGTGTGTGTGTGTGTGTGTGTGTGTGTGTGTGTTTGTGTGTGTGTAGGTTTATGCAGTGGACTGGAGTCCTGATGGCCAAAGAGTGGCCAGTGGCGGTAAAGACAAATGTCTCCGAATGTGAGTGCAATGCCAAAAAGCCATCCTATCTTTTTATCAGTTAGTTAAAGTTAAATACCAGTGTTTCCTCAAACCTAACCCTTTGGCCTTGTGTTTCCAGATGGAGAAGATAGCCACACCTCTGTTCCCTTCCTAATTTGGCAGAAGATTTCACATTTACTGCTTACAAGAAGCCTGCCAGCTGGAGCAAGGGTGGCTAGACTGTAGCTAACCCCCCATTCAGCTTTATTACACTGTCAATGGCATTATGTCATGGAAATCTAGGTCCAGTCATCATACAAACCTAAACCTCTCTAGGTTTGAAACCGATGTGGGATTCTTAACTATAAAGGTTTATAATCGTAGAATGTACAGTGTAAAATGTATGTTAGTGGCGGCATCTCAAATTTGAACCTAATGCTTCAATTTCTCAACACAGAATATATTCTAAAATGAGATGAAAAGTCTATAAGAATTTAACCAGCACATAAGGTGGTTAACTTGTTTCTCAGCAGCTTGTCCCCTACTTCACCTTAAGCCTCGCTAGACGGACTATATTGCATGTGACAGGTGGACTGGCGGGGCAACAGGTGGGAACGCTAATACCTTCCTCTGTGATGTTAATAGCAACGGCGCTCACCCTGCTCCTTCAACCTTTAATCATCTCTGTCCTGCAATCAACAAAGCCTCGGCCCGCTGATTTTTCCCACTGAGGAAAAAGCAGGCTCACCATTCCAGCTGAAATAACCAGTTTTATTTTCTGTATGAGTCTGGCTGTGAATATTTAATAACAATAAATATTTACATCCCAACTTTTACCTTGTAGCTTACGTTACCTGATGAAGCAGCTTTAAGTCAAGTGTTTATGTAGTTGAAGATCAGTTGACAACGTGGCTTATTAATATTGATTTGAAGGCGTAACCCAACGCTTGAGCTAGGGTTAGGGTGTGACTATGCATCTATCCCACTTCCAGCAACTCTTACTCCTTGTCCCTGTACAGGTAATGTTTCACAGGTTTTCATTTGTCATACATCATTGAGAACTTCATGTTAAATGCTGCCAGTAACAGGTCTCTATTTGCATCCAGAACAGATACATACAGGTATGATAAGATTTAGAGTTTTGTATGGCAACTCTAAACTGTTCACTGATGTCACTTTAAACAGCAATCTTTGTATGTCACTGGACATTTGCTGCAGCTAAAATTTACTCAGATGCAATTACTGTCAAGGTGAGGGACAAGATAAACGTTCTCTTGCTGTCCCCCTTACAGGTGTCATTTCAGTGAGCCATTAAAGCTGTATATAAAAATATTAACTGTTTTTGCTTTACCAAGAAAACGGGGAAGAAATAAAGGCAGTCACTTGTTATGAAGCTGAGTTGGCTCCTCCATATATCACACGTGCCCTATAGTATTACAGATGTCTGAACAAATTTCCAGAGTCATACATATCGGGTTTATTAATCACAATTGAAACCAGTGAAAGCAGGTTATGTTTAAATGTTTATTCAAGTGGTTTCCTCATCATGTAGATTTTACTTGGAGCACTGATGTTTTATAACAATATCACTTATGATGTCATACCAACACATTTCAGCTTTTCCTCAACACAAATTAATCATTCAGTCTGCAGGACCTTCTGAAAGTGAGTGAGCGCACCAAATCTGATATGCTGTACAGTGAGGTATGCATGCTGTTTATGAAAAGCTGCAAAACATTAACACTTTAAGAGTCCATATAGTAAAAATGTGCCTTGACTGAATGAAAACAAAATGACAGACAAAGATTAAGCAATATGCTGCCGCTCTTGGTTTAATGTGTAATAAAGATTTGCTCCTATCAGGGATAAAACATTAGAAAGTCAACTTAAATAGTTTGGCAAAAAGGAGTAAAAGGCTTCTGTGCAAGGCTGTGTGGTGCAACTAGATCGATCAAAACCTGGGCCTTGCTGAAACACTAGTCACTTGTTACGTTATCGAGCCTCTGACATATCTACTGTCCCCGTGATGTCGTTCAACGTGTGTAAACACTTTACTGGAGAAGAATGAGTGCATTCAAACATGGCTAATAAACGATTTCATCAGTCTGCGTACAAAAAGCTTATGAAGCAGGTTGGCTGGAGACGACAAAGAATATTCAAGTGGAAATATCTGACACGAGGACAGTGTTGGATGACTGAATCAATAAGCACGCAAGAAAATCACTGAAGGCTCAAGCGCATTGAAGTCATATGGCTTACATAGTTGGACATGTTGAATAGAAGTGAAATCACTTTTGTATTTTAGACTGCACACAAGCACCATCTTGGAAATAGCGGCCTGACTGTCTGATCAAAGCATTACTGGTCAAATGTTCCTAAATAAAGCCTTCACATGCAGCTGTAGAGAACTCGCCCTCCAACTGAAAGTCTCGGGAACTTGTCTGATGTTGATATGGTAGGAATTTTCCCAGAATGGCAACAAAGAACTCACTAACTTCTATTGTACTCGTAAGACTGCGTGTGAAGACTGTGCTACATGTGGATTTGTTTCCTACAATAAGTGCTGTGAGCCACTTTCAGCGTATAAACAGGACAGATGCTACATCAAGATTCATGCAGCCGTAATCTTGTATAGTCAGCAGCAGCCATAAAATGCACAATCATCACCAAGAGAGCGAGGATAACACTGTGAATGTTGTAGTGTGACGACGCCACGAGCACAGTCAAGGAAGCAATGATGTCCAACGCCCAGATGTGTTGACGTGCTGCATGGACGTTTGTTTTTGTCCGGTAGCATCTCTGTTCTTCGCTCAGTATAGATAAGTACTCAGAGAATCAGAAGACACGTTTATGGTTTCAGTACAAAGTGTTCACTCTACAACATGTACGGTAACAACAGTCATAGAAAGCTAAAACATCAGACATACGCAATATCCCTTTTACCTACTCAAGTAATTTGTTTCTTTTCCTCCCCCCTCTAATTTCAGCCTTTGGTTAGTAATCTTTCTTCTCTAAATACACTAATGTTTCCGGTAATAAGACTCAAGAAACTGAGTCTACAAGTTTGATCAAACACACAGAATAACATTGTTTCCTTACCTCCTTTGACTTTTGCCTTTTCTTCTAAATCACGTGATCCCTCTTGATTACTAAGTATTTTTGTTTTGTACAACCAATCTCCCTCCCCCTTTTTTCATCATTGTGTTTAGGATACGTCCTGCAAGTCGTTTACTTGTTGACATGTAACATAGTGGAAACTGGTCCTAATGAAGAGTCATCAGCTCAGGGCAACGCAAAGAGCTAGTATGAAGGAGAATAGAGGTGTTCAGTTGTGCGTAGCATGAGGCACTGATCTGTGCTTCCTTCTGGACCTTGGTCTGGTCTGTCTACTGGGTCTTCCACACATTGTTGAGTAGTTTGACAACCTCCTCATAGATGACGAAGACTATGGCCACATCCAAGCACACGCGGCCAAGCCTGGGGACTGTTCCTTTGTAGAAACTGCACGAAGGACAAGATAAGATGAGGTTAGACGGTTTGTCTTCAGGGGTGAAAAACTGAAACAGCAGGGTTACTCACGCCTGTGGTCCTTCGTGCTTCAAGATCTGGAAGGCGCAATCCACTGTGTTTTTGTAGCGGTGGGCCTCCAAACCCTACAAAAAAAAAAAAAAAGTGTCATATAAATGGCAGATCTGATGATAGTCATAATACCATCACAGGGTGTGTTTTCCTACCTGCATCCTGGTTTTCACCACATCCAGAGGTGTGTTTCCAAAGACGCTGGCAGCTCCCGCCGTCGCTCCAAACATCGCCGTGACAATTGGGTGCATTTCTCGCCTGGGGTCGTCACCTAAGAGGCAGAATCCAAATGTTGGATTCATGGAGAATGACAGGAAATAGGAGGGAAATGCATCAATTAAAAGGACAGGAAAAATACTGGTCAAGTAAGGACAGAGACTTTGGATTTTTTGCTGTAGGCTTTCTCACCTTTGTACCAATTGCGCAGCAAGTTCATCACATAGAATCGGATGGCCTGATTGGTTCCTTGTTTCAGCACAGTGGCTGTCAGACCTTGATACGTCCCCCTCACACCTAAATGAGTCCAACATGTTTGATTATGGAGCGCAAACCACACATATGCATATTTGTAGTTAGAGACTCTCGACTCAAATACTCCTATGTATATGAAGTCTTTGTGTGTTAACGAGTGTATTGATATAAGAGCCACTTGTTTCCACTATGCTGAGTCATCCTGCTCCCTTACCCTGTTCTCTGATAATCTCACTGACTCCGTGAAAGAAGCCTCTGTAGCGAGGTCTGAGGGAACACTGGTCATGGATCATCTTCACCTGAAGGATGAGGAAAGAACCATTTAATCAGTCTGTTCTTTCAGGTGATTTGTTGAGAAAAACCGATGTGGAAAGAGCTTCCCACAGTAGAGGAAATAGCATGCAGCTTCACAGACCTTGAGTGTCTCCATGGGGCAGACAACCACGATGGCCTCTGCTATGCCTGCTCCTAAACCACACACGAGGCTCCGCGTGTTGTCTAGCCGTCCCGTGGGGTCTCGCATTGGGTTGCTGAGCATCTCAAACGTGCCGAACCTGTGGAAGATGGGAAGGTGACAAATGTAAGAATAACACAGCTCCACATGTTGATCTGTCTTGATAACTGTTCCAGTTTCTCAAATGTGAGAATGGCAATCAGGTTTGGGATAGCTGGTAGGACAAAACATGACATTTGAGATCATTTTGAGCTCCATGAGCCACTTTTCACTGTTTTTTTTATGTTTTGTAGAACAAACAATTAGTCATTAATTTGAAAATAATCTGCAGATTAACTGATAATGAAAATAATCATTAATTCCTACTCTACACATGTTGCTGCCTTTAATTTAAGTACCAAGAAATGCTAAGTCACTGCTTTGAAATCAGTCAGCTGCTAACTTAAGTTTAAAACCCTGTAATGCTATGAACCAAATGTGCTTTTCTACAGGCAACTTTATATCATGTGTGTGCATCTTCACCTCACTGCAGACTTGGGTATTGATCCATAGAGCAGAGAGCTGAGACCTCGATACAATCCTCTGAGCCCGTGATCCTGCACGGTCAGCTTCACACAGTCACCTGAACACACGCGTGCACACACACACAGCATCCAGGAGTGAGTAACCCAGCAGAAGACTGGCACACAAACCTGCAGTCTGTCAGCAGTCATACATGTCCCAGTGACCTACCGATCCCTCTGTATCGTGGCGGGTTGGCTCTCTCGTCTAGCTGCAGCTGGGTCTTGACATACTCTGTAGGGAAGGTAATACAGATCTCGATTCCTCCTGCAATGCCACCTGAGTGAGAGGCAGGAAAGGAGAGAAACACGGGATTTGTTGACTCACTCTGCATGACTGTTCTTGAATGTTCTGAGAGGACTTACCAGCATTTCTATTTCAGTATAAAACAGATGAGGTGGCTGATGCTAGATCTTGTGTTTTAATTAAATGCTAATGTGATTACACAGCAGCGTCTGTACTGAGTTGGAATAATAGCAGTGGACTACTGAATATACCCGTCTCTACTCTGTAGTCAGGATGAACCTTTCAACGTCTTTGTTTTTAGGTTTATTTAAATGAATAAAATGTGTGCCGTAATAAATAAACAACTACATCAAGCAACTGCTGTAGCATCACTGCTGGATGGGTGCGTTTTGACCCAGTTCTGCATGGCCTTAATGTGCGACAGACAGATTAACGTTAGGATGTGCTGCGCACAAAGCAATGGGCGACTGTGAGGGTGACATCTGCGGGATGAATATTTGCGTTGCAAAATCAACCTGCAAGGATGGCCTTTCCAGGATGCGTGATTTTCCTCCCTCCGACGGCAGCGGCCGCCAGATTTCTCCTCGCCGCGGATGACCGCTGGTGTGTCGGCAGAAATCCAAGCCCCGCCGCGGCGGCCAGACGCCGGGATGGAAGCTGCTGATGGGGAGCCGAGCTCGGACATCCTCTCCTGACACAGCAGCTGTCGCACGGCCCCTCACACACCGAAAACGGCTTCAGCAGTGAGGACATTTTGGTCGCCGGGTCTGGTGATAGAAATCTCTCACTGTGGTGATGGCCCAAAGCAGGCAATCTCACACAACAACACCAGGAAGGCGCACCAATGTGACGGCTGAGGGAGCATCAATATTCAAATAGCGGTCAGGTGATGGGCCACGCCATTGGCTCACCACGCCGCCTAATGCAATTACTCATGTCATGTGACTATGCATGACATTTGGCCACCAATAGCGTGCAGGACGCTGTTTTACTGATGTGGTGAGGTTTATTTCTAGTCTGCCAGACTGAACTGATGATCCACAACAATTTATCACCATAGATAGATAGATAGATACAGATGTACACTAATTCTCTCAGAGCCATAGAATATTATTATAATAATAATAAAGTATTATTAATAAGATTGAAAGCGAACCATATATTTTATTCCTTTGTTAGTGTGTCATGAGTCACGCAATCAAGAGTGGAGTATATTTCTGTTGCCTCTTAATCCCTGTTCCCTTAGTGCTCTCGCCATACCAGAGCATAACGTTACACATACACACACTGCTTCCCCAGACCACCCTTTCCAGTGAAAGTAGGTCAGTGTTCCCACCATAGACTGTATAAAGGTTCACACACACACCCACAACCCCCCACCTCCCTGAGAAAAACATTCAGCGTCAAAACGACAAACTAAAGTGACCAATTATTGTTCATTCGTTAATTGTTTTGTAAAACAGATGCATATCATAATAAATAAAAAATTTTGTAGTATTTTTAAAAAACTTTTTTTTGCTCCAAATATAACTTGTAATTCAATATAATTACCTCAAAACGTACTGTATAGACTTACAGTTTTCAAAATATGCATAAAACTTAATTTATTTAATCTGTCCAGCTATTTACAACACAGATAACAAATAGTGAGAAAACACTGGTGTTAAATCCAATTAATACACCAATAAGGCAACAGTAAATATACTGTCCAAAGTACCATAATTGTGGCTGTAGCTTGTTTTTAGTTGTCAGTTGCCACCAGATGGTTTATGCAGGGCTCTCAAGATTTATCAAAAGTTTGGAGTGAGATAGCACGTGTTAGAGGAGGAGCCACTCAAATATTTGCAGCAGCGGCCCCTCTGCCAAAGCCAATTCTCTTAAGTTACTAGCAGTTAAATTTTACCTATAGTTCATGATTGACCTGCACTAATAGAAATGATAACAATAGGTAAATCTGATAAAAGACCATTTTTACATATACTTGTATTTCAAAAACAGAAATGTATCAAAACTAAAAGTGCTGTACACACAGGCCTACAGAAGGATGGCAGAACTTACCCTACGCATGCCAAGCTGTGTGTGTGAGTAGGCTACACATTTCAGCTTACGAATGGTGTTTTGTGTGGGTAATTTTGTATTTGTTGCACATTTTAATTTCTTGATGACAGGGGTAGGGGGCTCCCACTTGAGGCCCTGTGGCTCAAGGTCAGCAATTTTCACCATCATGATGGATGAAAGCGCTCTGTCCAGAGCCCAAATATAGAAAAACATCTCTAGTCCTTTCCTTAATTTCAGGTAGCCAAAGCTAAGCCCAGTGGTGGACAGTAACAAAGTAGTACTGTACTTAAGTACACAAGGTATTTGTACTGAACTTGAGTATTTTCTTTTCATGCCACTTTCTACTTCTACTTCATCACATCTTTAAGGGAAATATTGTGTGATTAATACACAATACTTACATACTTTTACTTAACTTTTTCAAAGCAGTATTTGAGTATTTTTACAGTGAGGTATTGGTACTTTCAATTTTTTAAAGGATCTGAATAGGCCTATGGTACTTTGTTCACCACTGGCAAAAAAAGCCAAAGCTTCTGGTTGCAAAGAGGTTGGAGAGTTTTTCACTGCATCATCAATAATAATTTAGCACGAATTTGGCTGTACTCCCCAACATCAGCCGCTGTCACTAGCTGCAGGCAAGTGATTTTGTCCAGGAATCATAAAATCATCCAGTTGCCGCATTCATCGGTTCTTGCGCTTCCAACTGCCACTCCGTGTGTGCACGCGCATCCATGTTGCCTTGTCACGAACATGCTTGCAGCGGGATCACGGAATTCACCCGGAAACAACACATTTTAATTTCTGATCGGCTAAACGGCCCATAGTGATGTGCGATACCACTTAATTCCTATACGATGCAATACCAAGTAATACCCTGGCTGGTATTGCCGATACCGATCCCATACCAATACTTTTTACATCTTTTATTTCTAGTTTAATGTGACCTCCCTCTCCCGTTTCTGTATTTATGAGAGAAATAAGGTTTACGCTGTAGCCTTACCATTTCAAAATAATAGCTGCATAATGACAAGACATCAAACTACTGTCGTCTTCTTAAATTATAATAAAAAATATCCTGTTCAGAACTGCCGCTTCATAACATCATCCTATTATTGTGACAGACTTAATCTCAGATGTTTAGCGAAGTTTGCGGTGTTGCCAAAGTATTTCACTGTCTTTGCACACACATCACACAGAGCAACATTATTACCTTCACAGCTAAAATACAGCCTGTTTTTACAGTCAAGCTAACGTTATCTAACTAATTCACAAAATCACAATTCATTTCACATGCTTTGCAGTAGTTTACCGGTCCAATACCGCGGTGAAGTTAGTTTCAAGTTGGATATTCGACAGCCATTCACCCAGGATCCGGTGACGGCTTCTTATTCAGCCACCCAGTGTCGGCAGTATAAATGCGGTTAGCTCACCTCTGACAGCTCGCTTTTAACCACTGGGGGTCAGCTTAGGGACCATCAATAAATTACAATTGTTAAAATAGTGCTATGGGAATATCATCATTTATTTCAATAGCTTCTATGTCATGTGATCCAAAGACATCAAACCAACGCCGAACTGTAGAGCTACACTGTGCAAATCAGACACACCTCTTTATTTTAGATTTGAGTAGGCCTACTTGTTTTATTTTATATTAATATTTATTAATTATTTATGGAAAATAATGCTTTTTTTCAATAGCTTCCATGTCATGTGACCTACCGACTCCAATGCCGACTTGTAGAACTACACTAGGCGAATCAGACACACCTCTTCATATGAGATTTGAGTATTTTTTAAATAGCTTCCATGTCATGTGATTCATGGACTCCAAACCAATTTTCTCCAATAAAATATTAACAAATATTTATATAAAATAAAACAAGTACTGAAATCTAATATGAAGAGGTGTGTTTCACTTGCCTGACTGTGGGTGACTGAATAAGAAGCCCTCACCGGATCCTGGGTGAATGTCTCTCGAATATCCAACTTAAAACTAACTTCACCGTGGTTGTCCAATTCGACGAAAGACAACTCTGTCGGTTCCAAAACAAAGAGGACGTCTTGAACATACAAATGGAAACCACTGTTGAATGTGCGTGACCTTCAAGCCCTCAGGTGGCACTGCCTAAGAAACCATCATGCTTCTGTTATAAATATAGCTACATGGGCTTGGGTGTACTTCTTGAGTCCACATTTCAGCTTGTTTTCGGGAGAAACAGACATTTAGTTCTTCATCCCAAAAAAGGAAAAAAAAAAAAAAAAAAACAACATCCAGATTGTTATCAGCCAAAGGTGCAAAAGCCAGCATCTGTGATGGTAAAATGGTACATCAGTGCCCCCATACCATACCAAGGCATGGGTGGGTTGCATGTGTGTAAAGGTACTTAGGCAAAGGGAATTATTGGGATTTTAGAGACATACAGTATGTTGCCATCAAGGTGACGTCTGTTCCCGGGACATCCATGCTTATTTCAGCAAGAATATGCCAGGCCTCATGCTGCAGGGGCTACACCACAGACACAGTAGGCCACTTACTAGTAGGTATAGCAGACATGTGTGACAACCATATGAGATGTAAAATTTTACCACGTTTGAATTTTGTGCAAAGTTTTGAGATTTATTAAGCACGTTTAGGCTGCCAAAATTCAATTCATTGTTGGAAAATGAATAATGCCTTCAGTTCGGGACCAAGCAGGTCACAAAACTGCAAGGCATGTTTTTTTGTGAGAAAAAGTTGCAAAAGTGCAAAAGAATGCAGAGATTAAAATGATCAAATAATATTTACTCTAAGAAAAGCTGTTTTTGAGATAATTGTAAAAACATAAAGTTGATTGTTATAGCATCACCATGAGGACAATGAGCGTCATTTCTTTAGCCTGAGTAGTAGGTGGAACTTCCAATACACCTGACAATTTTGGTGAGTTTTTGTCCAGCAATTTTTGCTGCACAAACAGTTTTAGTGGAGAAAAATAATAATAAGAAGAAGAATGAGAACAAAAACAATAGGACTCTAGGAGATTAGCTGCACTTATTAACATTTATAACTACAGAGAACGTTATTAGCTGCATAAATATTTGTAAATGACTTATATGTTGTAAATAATAGCTTTATCAATAGTTAATAAGCCCTACCTTATCAGACAAACTACAAAATAATAGAGTGTATGGAATAAAATTAATTATTTTATGTTTTATGGAGTAAAACTAGCCTTCTATTTGTTTTAAATAGCCTACAGCCAAACTTCTGGTGGCCATAAAGGAAATATATGGAATCATTCATAATTGTATATGGGTTTTTGAGGAGCTCTTTAGCTCTATGCAAGGGATGCATGTGCAAGTGATGTATGTGTTTTGCCAATAATTTTAGACAGCACCATGCAATGATTCTTGTCCTTTTCACAAAGGGACGTGTGAGTTAAAAAACGTTTATGTATTACTATAGACATGAAACGTCAATATTGTCAATATCAGTACTGTTTATGTTTTCCTTTCTTCTCTCTGTTTTGCAGAGGTGGGCCTACAGCCTTCCTTTCATAGACAGAAAGAATATTTCCTTTTATATTTAAAAAAACAGACAGGTTTTTTATACACATGCTGTTTATTTATTTATAACACATCATAAAAATATTGCAGAAAGTAAACATAAACTCAATGAGTAAACATACATGAAATAAGAAATGGACATGGCTAAGCCTAGGTGTAAACATACAGTTGTTTACTAGCAGAAACAGATATTGCACATAGCTTTTAAATGCAATGTATTTCCTGAGAGTATTAATAC